CATGGGCCAACCTTAGTAAAGATCGTCGCAGAGCTTTTCCCATATTACAAAAGCGCCGTCCCTGGGATTCGAACATGAGATCTTCCCATAACGTTTGGTGAGGGTGACAACTAGACCACTTCACTAAGTCGCCACACCTCACTTGAAGTATTTATATTTTTTAAATATTAAATACATTTATAAATATTAAATTTTTTTCGATATTAAATATATTTTTTTTAAATAAAATTTTTAAAATAAAAATAAAAAAATTTTTTTATTATAGCAAAATAAAATCCAGGTTGGTGGGTCATTTAAAATTATATATAATATGAAAACCAGAAAATTTACTTTGCTTCACCTTATTGAAAAGAGTTGAGGAAATTTTATTTTTGCATATTTAATAATTTTATATGATAAAATTACTATTTATTTATTATTAAAAAATTAATTCATAAAAATTGCTACTACTTTTTATTTACTAAATATTTTTTAATTCTATAAAATAAATAAGATTATTAAATATATTTTTATGACCTGCGGGTTGATAGCATAACGGTTATGCTCCCAGGTTGCAAATCGGATGGTTGCCGGTTTAATTCCTCCTAGTGGCGAAATAATGAAAACCCAAATATGGAAGTGAAACACCACGGGATACAGGGAACTCAGGACATCTACGGATAGACGTATTCGGGGAATAGTTATTTCGAGAAGTTGTGGCTGTGAAGCGAGGCGTGTTAGAACCCCGATTTGGAATAACCGAAGTCATGAAACGTACTGTGAGGCCAAAGTCTGAGAAGATACTACAAAAACTCGTAGCGCCACTGAATTGGCTAGTGAAATCTCAGTCTAATATTAAGGTGTTTTGACCTCTTCGGAGTGTCGTGCAGGCGGTCGGATCTAGGCCCCAATGAGAGAACCAGAGAAATGATGGGCAATGGATCCCAGATGGATACACATAATTCCCGTATAGGAATTATGGAGGTCCTGTGACACTAGTAGTGTAGAGTCAACTATAAAGATAGCTGGACCAAGTCACGTCTAGACTTGTCGAAGTAATAAAAAAAAATATATATATATATATATATATATATTTATAATAATATAATATTTAAAATTTTATAAATTAGTCATTTATTGATTTAATATTATCTTTATCAAAAAATACTAACAGTGAATTATATAATATTATCTGTTTACTAATAAACTTTATCTCTTAAGCTGTAGAGTTCATGTAACAATTTTAGCTTAAAAATAGCATAAATTTAGTTTTTAATATTTAATAGATTAGATTTACTAATTTATACTAAATCTAGTATATTTTAAAAAATATATAAAAACAAAAATTTTCAAAAACTCTTTCTGCTAATCCTCTGTACCACATTTTAACTAAAGCAAAAACAGCTAATTTATACACTTTAGTAAAAGCAAACAACAGAAACAGCCTTAAAGAAAAAGCTAGAGGAAGCAAAATTAGCTAGAGTCTCTTAGTACAAATAGACAACTTTGAAACTTTAGCTCTTTCAACTTTGAAAAAACTAAAATTTTTGCTTAAATTTTTTCTCTGGTAAAAACTTTTTGGAAAAATTGGGATTTGCCCAAAACTTTGTATTGCAAATCACAAAACCAAACAAACAAACAAACATGTTCCAAATTAGTTTATTTTGAACAAACAGTATAAACACATGTTTTGATTAGAATAAAAACAAACAAACACCAAACAACAATTAAAAATAAACAAATAGTCATGTGTTAGGAAGTAGTTCTAGTATATTCTAAAAAAGTTACAATGAAATTAACTCAATATATACAGAACAAATATAGTAGATAAAAATATGAAGTTAGAAGATTTTAAAGATTTGGTGATAGCTTCGAATACAAGATTACAGAAGCTATATAACGAAAATCGGCTTTTAACACTTAACATAAATAAGCATATAGCAAATTATCTCAAGTATAAAAACCCGGAGTTTATTACAATACTACATCAAGTATAAGTAGGCAAAATCAAAAAAAGACCAAGGCAAGGAACTTTCAATAGAGGAATATATACTAATAAGAAATGTAACCGAAGTTACAACTAATACAAAGAGTAAAGAAAAAGCAACAAAACCTCAAACCGTTTATACACACAGTATAGACATGGTAATCGATTCTGTGGATAAGCTTAAAAGAAAAAAGCTACAGAAGATAATATAGAGGAGTCTGAAGTGAGAAAGAGAAAAGAAAGTATTACAATCAGATTAGCAGAAATGAGCCTAAACGAAAGTGAGATGGAAATCCTAGAAGAAGATAAATAAGCAAATGCAGAAGAAAAGACAACGCTAATATACACTAAATGTGAACATACAAATCATAGTACACAAATGACTAAAGAGTGGGTCTTATTAGTTAAGAAAAAAAAGCTATACAACAAAAAAAAGAAAAAAAAGAAATAGAATTAGAACGTAAAGAAGATATATATGGTTCATTATAGGCTCTGAATAGTAAAAAAGTGCAAAACAAGTACAATGTAGAAACCACACCAAGGTTTAACAAAGAAAAGAGAGAATTGGAATTAGAAATTACTATCTGGGACTTACCTAGATCAACAAGTGCTGCAAATATTGCGAGAAGTATGAAATACTATAGCAAGATCGAAATTATCGAGTGGCAAAGTAGAAAAGAATCTAGAGCAGTTTTTTTAAAGATTAAGTGTAAAAATAAAGTAGAAAAGAAAAGATTACAAAATGCATAGGCAGTATTCTTCGAAGAAGGAAAAACATGTAGAGTCACAGCAGATAGATTTAATACAACTACATTAGAAAATAGAAAAGAATTCAGACTAAGACTCGAAAAGATTCTACATAGAGCATCTGAAGAACTACTTCTTAGACAACTCAAAAGACTTAAAGCAAAAATGATCTGTATACCCAAAAGTAGCTATGGCAAACAAAGAAGCATAGCTTTCGTATACTTTGCTTTATTAGAAGACTTACTAAAAGCTAAGTCAGTCACCCCAAAATACTTTGAGGATATACTAGAATAAGATAAAGATAGATATTACAACTTAGTAGAGTGGTCTAGAAATAAAGAGAATAAATATAGAACCAAACCAAGAGATATAAATGAAAATGTACATGGCTTTTACTCAAAATACCAAAATAAACATCATAATAAAAAGAGTAAAGAATGAAAGCCAAACACTAACTTAAAGCAAGATGGTAGAAAGAATAGTACCTCTAGATCACGCAGCACTACTAAAAAACCACTTAAAAGAGATAGCAATGTAATGACAGGCAAGCAAGAACATCAAGAATTTACAGTAGCATCCAGTTCAAATAGAGAAGAACTAGGTAAAAGAAAAGAAAAGCAACTTGATCTAGAGGAAGAAAAAGAAATTGAGAAAATTTTAGGAGAAATGAAAGAAAGATTTAAAATAATGGAGAATCTGCTTGCATGTTGCTTCTAAAATTAGCCATAGTTGAACTAAAGAAAAGGGGTAAGGCAAAACCTCTTACTGCTGCCTTACAAAAACCTAACAAACTAATACAAAATGAGAAAAATATAAAAAATATCAGCTTTGAGTCATTTAGAATAGGATTTCACAATATTAATAAGCTTAAATTAAACGAACAAAAATTACTAGCACTAGCAGAAGTAGGTAAAGAGGAGGGTTTGGATATTATTGGTATTGCAGAAACCAATATAGGTGAAAATGAGGGAAAATGAGTAGAAATGAGTCAACAGGGATATATTAGTTTTTGGTCTGCTAGAGAAGAAAATAAAAATAAGGGATCTGGAGTCAGGATGCTAGTAAATAAGAAGTGGTCAAAGCATTTAGGCAAGGTGGTCAAATATAGTCCATATGTTCTCAAGACAAAGTTCTTCTTTAGAAAAGTAATAATACAAGTCTGGATTACTTACCTACTATCATCAGACAAGAAAGCTAATAGAGAGACTCAATATACAATAATAAGAGAGATCTGTAGTAACAAGATAAATACATATACTTGTGTGATAGGAGACTTTAATGCATTAGGTAGCACAGACTTGGACACAAATAACAAAAACGTAGTAGTCAGGGGCTCGGCAAAATGTTTATAGAGTGGTTTAGAAATCATGACTTTATAGACACTTTTTGATATTTAAACCCATATAAAAGAGAGTATACTTAAAAAAAAAGAAAATTCTAAATCAAGAATAGATTATATATGGGTAAGAGAAGAAATGCAAGATATACTCAACAAAGCCACAATTAAATATATAAATTTGGCTACTAGTAGCGATCACAAACTAGTTACAGTAAGAATAGAGACAAGTGTAATACTCAAATATGGTAACTTTTGTAAAAGAAAAGGAAAGCATCTAATATGTAAAATCTTCCTTTATTACAAAGCTTCAGAAGAAAATTGGAAGGCATATAGTAAATGCATAGAGTATAAACTTAGAAGTAGAGAAATTTTAGGTGCTAGTGAGAGTACTCAGAATAGTATAAAAAATATCAATAAGGAATAGGACATTATTAGTAATACAATTACACAGGCAGCACTTAAACATATACCCTAGATTAGTACTAGTAAAACAGAAGCACAAGCCAAAAAGTCAGTCTATAAGTACAAGATATATAAAGAAATTAAGTTTTTTTTATTTGTTACAAAAAAAAGAAATATACTCTTAATGGAAAAAGAATAAGTAACTTAGACAAAATAAGGCTTAATACACAAATCAAAAGGATAAACCATGAGTATCAAACACAAATTTCATAGTTACCAGAATTATAGAGCTAGGTAGAAGTAAAAGAACTGAAGAATTAAGAAAAAGTTCTAAGGAAAAAGTACAAGAAGAAGAACGGCATATTAAAGAAAAAGAAATTTATTACAAAATTGAACAAAGATTCAATATGATGAGCAAGATAAGAAGAAAATACTACAAAATTTGTTAAATAAACCATTCAACAAAGTAATACTAGATAGAGTACTTATAGAAGAAAGCTTACATTATCAGAATTAAGAACTTATCAGTGATGAATTGGAGGTCAAGCAACAAGTAAATTTACACTTTCAGAAACAATTTAAAAAAAGATCACAAAAGTTTGAGAAGATGAGTCAAGCTTGGCAAGAAAAATACAAGCTAAAAGATTGGGTAGATTCTAGCTAGTATAATAGCATAGTAGACCCAATCAATGAAGAAGAATGGCTTCAGTCTCTTTGCAAAACATAAAATAAAACAGCCCCAGGCCTCTCAGAAATTGATTATATACTACTCAAGAAAATCATACCAAAAACAACTAAAAGATTAGTGAATTTTGTAAACTTAGTGTTTGAGTATGGAAAAATTCCAGAAAAATGGAAGTTAGGACAACTATATCTAATACCAAAAGGCAGTTTTTGGGAGTATAATCTAAGTAATACAAGACTGATCGTGCTTTTAAAAACATTTAGAAAAGTCTTAACTAGAGTAATACAAGTAAGACTAGATAAAGTAATTAAAAAAAATAGTATTCTAAAAGGGGCAAATTTTGCAGGCTTGTCAAGAGAAAGTACAATAACCCCAATACATATTATGAACAATGTAATAGAGGAAGCTATAGAAAAAAGAAAGAAATCTGGATTGTATATCAAAACATAAAAAAGGCATTTGATTCTGTAAGCATGGTAGTACTTAAAAAAGCAACTTGAAAGGCTAAAGTTTCCATCAAAGCTAGTTGGGTTCATCCTGAGTTTGTATGAAAACAGAAAAATAAGTACGATAACAGAGTATGGAAACACAGACTTTATAGAAGCAGGAGATAGAATTGATCAAGAAGAAGTTCTATCTCTCTTAGTATGGAGAATCTTTTACAACCCCTTGCTATGTAAGGTACAAAGTGCTAACCTGGAGTATGAAATACAAATAAAAAGTAATAACTAGAAAAAGACTTCCAGTAAGTGTTTTAGCCTATGCTAATGACACTACATGGATAGCAGGTGATCAAAAAGTATACAAAGAATATTAGATCTTTCAAATGAATTTTATAAAATAAATAATATTGAGATCAACCCAAAAAAGACAGAACTGGTCATGCTTAAGCCAGAAAAAAAGAAGAATATCAGAGATCTCTATGTGTGGGTAGGAACACCAAAGTCAAAGGTACTAGCTAACAATTACAAAGATGCAACACGGTTTTTGGAGGTTTGGATCTTGATTAAGAACCAACAAAGCTCAGATCTAAAAAAAGCGAAAAAAGATATAAACAAGTTCATTGGCCTACTAAGACACAAAAAAATATCTATAAGTCAAATAGTATATATGAATAATGCTGTTCTAATACCGATATTAGAATATAGACTTATGCTTTTATGTCTAACAAGAACCCAGTGTGACAGAATACATCAACCGATGCTACATTTAGTGAAATAGAGAATGTTGATGCCATCTACAATAACAAACATACTACCGAAGCACCCAGAGATGATAAATTGCAAAAGCCTGTGGAATCACCATATAGAACACCAAATTACAGAGTTGTTAATAAGGCTAAATGGAGGAGGGCTTCTTGAAAAATCGACAACAATTAGACTTAAGCAGGGACAATTAAAAGTAGGCTCCGCAAAGTGTATTTTAATAAACAAGAAACTTTTAGAAAAAAAAAATTTCAAAATTAAAAACCTAGGCATGCAAATTTTGCAACAAGCAAAAACTCTAGGTTTTGACTTAAGAGAAAATGAATTTACAAAAAGCTGGGATCTTAAAATAGCACAAGTGGCAAACGACCTCGAGATAGCAGAAGTTTTGAAAAAAAATATTTGTGTTATGAGAAATGTAATGCTAGCAAAATGAGTATGTAGGTTACATCACAACTTATAACAAAAGATGGTAGAACAATGCATATATAAAAGCAGCTTAAATTAGTATACAATATCAACCTAAGAGGAAAAAAAACCAAGTGGTTCACTGAGTTAGAAAAGGAAATAATCGTAAATATAAAAACAAAAGAAGTTGGATCAGGATATAAAATCAGTAGACATAATCCAAATACACCTAGGATATTGTTAGATTTGGTAGAAAAGGACAAGAGTGGGTCATGTAGAAAGACAAAGATTATACAAGTATCAAGATTAGAAAAATAAAAGAAAAGAAAGAAAAGTATGTAGAGATAGAAAACTTTTTAGAAATAGAAAAAG